TAAACGGGGCTTCAAGCACAGAGCAAGCACCTCATAAGTACTCTTTATATAAGAAATCATAAGAAAATTCAGGCACCCTTTCAGGGTGGCCCTGTGTGCTGTTTTCTGATCAAGGCTCTGGGGTGAGATCGTTGTAGTAGATCAACATCTGTCTAGAGTTGCAGAAGAATTGGGAAGAAGGTTTTATCCTCTGTGTAGGAGGCAGACAACTTGAGTTAATCCCAATTTCCCAACTCTGGGCACATAGAAGTGGCCAAACAACTTACACTGATTATCTCTGTGTACAACTATACAGGAGACAAGGAGGTATAAAGGTAAGAAGAATCTGCTGCAACCAGGGAGTATGCATATTCTTGCCCTACCTTTCACTAGCTGCGTTATCATGGGCCATGTACAAAACTTTCTGTGTCTCAGTTTCATCTGTGGAGTGGGGACAGTGGTATCTATCTTGTTAGTTTGGTAACAACATTAGATGACATCTGGCAAAGATAAATAGGTTTAGGAATATTTGATTTAAAAATTCTGTCTCTGGACGGTTGGTGGAATTTTTTCCACTGGTATGGGTCACTTCAAGTCTGAGCTCAACCACCAAATAACTGAGATTGGTAGAGGTCCGATCTCAGTCTTTAATCTGGTGCTCTAACATACCACAGAGCAGGTAATTTATAAACAAGAGGACTTCTTTGGCTCACAGTTAGGCAGATTGGGAAGGACAGAAGCATTGCACCAGCAATGGGTACTTTGCAACAACCCCTGGCAACATGGTAAGCTTGCATGTGCTTGAGAGACACAGAACATGGTCTGAACTCATTCAGTTTTCAGGCCCTTACTTCACAGATAACTAATCTACTCCCTCCACCGCAGATTACATGCATCTTGAGTGGTCGTTGTGGGCATTGCCTCATCACTGAAGAAAGTTCTACCTCAATACTATTGTCATGGCAATGTAATTTCACCATGAGCTTTGGAACAGACAGACAAATCATGGCAACAGCATTATGCAATCAAGACTATGTGGCTGTGGAACCTGAAAAGCCAGGTCTCTATCTGAACCCAAACCAGAGCTCACAAGGTGCAAAAAGTCAAATCCACATGCAGAGGCAGGGGAGGAATCTGAGATGCCATAGCAGTGGTCGTTGTGGCTAGACCTGCCTTCCGCATCCTAACCTCACTTCTGCTTTTATTTCCTCTTCTTGTCTTCATCAGGGAAACATACTAGAGAAGCTGAGAATTTTCTCCATGCCCAAATTTGCCCGTTTTGTACAGGATACATTGTTTGTAAAAAGAATGGACCCTAAAGTGGTGGTGACGGACCTGCACTATGGAACAATCCCTGTGAGGCTGTTTCAGCCCAAGGAAATGTCCTGCGGCTCAAGGAGAGGCATCATTTTCTACCATGGTGGAGCTGCTGTGGTGGGCAGCCTGGGTAAGGAGTTGCCCAATGTTGGAAGAGGAAAAAGGGTATTTGAACATTAATAATTTTGCAAGAGATCACAGGAGGAATCTTATGGAATGATTCAGAGGAATCAACCATAGAAGTTTCTTCAGAGGATCCAAGAGAGGGCATGGGATTCATTTAATTTAATGGAATTGCTGGCTCTGGGGAATGGTTTCTATTGCATGATGATCTAGGTCCCTTGCCACTGCATTACTTGTTCACTGGCCCTTTCTATTTGTTCCACAGTGATTTTCAACCCATGTATTGTCCTTATCTCTGCAGAACCATGGGGAGACAAGCCTACCTTCTCTTGCTCACACCTTTCACCTCCAGAATGATCCTTCTACCTGGTTCTCTACACTTGCAGCTCACTCAACCTCAAAGATGTCCCCAAGGCTGAGGATGTATCTCAGTGGTAGAATATTATCCTAGAATGAATGAAATCCTGGGTTCCATCCTCAGCACTACCAAAGAAACAGTCCATACCTTCATAAATTAACTGGAAACACATGGCAGCCCTGGGTCTTAGCCTTGTGTATAGTCCCTACTCTCAGAAGCCCCAAGGCATGTTCCCCCAGACTTCATCCTGTCTTCATGGCAGATATAATTTCCAAAGGTAAAGCATAATCAGCAAATATTTACCAAGCACTTAGTGTGAGACACTTTCCACGCACAAGTCACTCAGATATACAAAAAGGGGCCCAGGCATTAACCTCAAGTGCCTGTCAGTCAATGAGGGAGCTGGACAGAAGAGGCAGGGGAACTCACATGATGGGTAGTTTCCCATGGTGATAAACCAGACCTGCTAGAAAAGAATAATTCAGAGTCATTGAATTAGGCTCCTTTGGTTAGACTAAGTTTCTCTAAGAGATTAGCACTAAAGCCCAGACCCAGCACATGATGGAGAGTAGGCGCTACATGATGGGAAGCAGGTCATTCTGGGCTAGGTGGGAACCTGGGGAAGCCCTGGGAGGCAGGTGTCTGGGACCTAAAATTAGAGCCACCCATACCTCCAGTCATCAGGAGAACTAGTACTGCACATCAGGGCAATATTTAAAGGGACAACACAGACATAACAAACTAAGTTGAACTGAATAGCAAAAGAATAGGTAGGGCTGAGTGACTTTCCCAAGTGCAAAGCAAAATAAATAAAGCTTTATTTTGCTTATTGCAGATGTTGAGTATTAGTTTGGGCTTTGTAAGATTTTGTGCCAACACACTGTCTATCAGGAAGGATCAGGGTCCTGAGGCCCTGGATTTTGCACCCACAGTGGATGTCTCACTGGCCCCACCCTAACTCAGCACCACTCAGTCTAAGCAGCAGGGCAGCAGGGGCAGAGCTCTGGAGCATGAGGAGCTGGAAAACTGAGGGTAGAAGGAATTCAGGGTGGTAGAGCAGGTGGCAAAGGTGGTTAGACATGCAAGGTGAAGGCCATGGCCTGCAGAGCTGTTGGCCTGGGGTGTTATTAACCTCCCTTGGGGTCTTTAAGGTCCTACCTACCCCAGCTCTTCCTCAGGCTCACTGAGTCTTTCTCAGGGTGGTGTCAGGGTGGATACTAAAATATCCCAGATGACCCAATGTACAGGGGATGAGATGTGTGATACAGACCTTTGTCATGCATGTTGACCCTCAACTCAGCTGACCCCACAGTATGTCTGCTTCTGTTTCTGCCCTATCATCACTATACCCCTTAAAGGCCCCTTTCTGGCTCCTCTGAACATGGGAAACACTTGGTGTGATTTAAAAAATCTTGATTCCCAAGCCCCCACCGAGACCCTCATATGAAGATTTGGAGTCAGCCCTGCAGAGGATGTGGATAGGCTTCCTGGTGTCACCGTGCTGAGACCAGGGGCTGAAAGGGTTGAACAGAGGTGCATTTGGCAGGTTCTGGGTCCAGTATTGGTCCTGTAGCACAGCCTACTCACATCAGTGTGTCTGCCTTTTAGAATTTCAGATGAACCTCTTTACTGGGGTTCATGTCCCATCCAGCCATTGCTTATTTCTTCATTAATATAAGTGCACCAAATTATGATTTCCCACAGGCATGCTCAACTTGGCTTGACTTGGTTTTGACAATTTCAGCTCTGTAAGCATTTCTGGCCTCCAGTGTAAAACTAATCAATGAAGGTGAATCCCAGAATTTTCTTCCTCCCTGACATTTGGGAGATGGAGGAAGATGTCTGGCTTTTCCAAGGCAGTGCTTACCAAAGTAGAAGGATTCAAGAGATAGGACATCAACACATGCCACTTATGGCTGTTCTCTCTGAAGCAGTTGGGGAGGAGCTAGGCCCTCCTCCTGTGTCACCTGGGTCTGTTTTCATCTTGCAGATTTTTACCACAACGTGTGCCTTTTCCTTGCCCTGGAGACGAATTCTGTGCTGTTGTCTGTGGGGTGAGTTTATGAGACAGTCTTCAGATTTTCCATGGGAATGAGATGGGAGGGAAATTACTGAATGTATGTAGAGCATGGAGAAGTCCTCAAGCCAACAGGTAGTCATGGACATGCACCCAGCACACAGACATAGCTCAATTCAGTGTGGCCCAAGCCTGGGAAGATGCCTGCCTCAGGGGAGCACACAGATCAGTCCCGTAAGAGTGAGTAGTGTGCAACATTGCCTGACCTTCCCAGGAGTATGACATGATCAATTAATAAACAGCAGGGTGTATTAAGATATGAATGAATCTTAGTAGTGGGTCAATAAGTAAGATAATGAGTTACATGAAGCCTGATGCTTTAAAAATAATATTATGACAACTAAAATTATATTAATACCTTCTAGGATGTATGTAGTTAAAACCAAATAATATAAAAAGGAAAGATTCAAGGAAACCCTCTTCAGTGTAGAGGCAGGACTGAGGTGAGAGAAGGTAGTGGGGTGGTCAGGGTTGGCTCAAGCTCACAGTCAAGGTCCTAGCTGTGGTTGTGTTGAAGGCTCTGTAGATTCTCATTGTGTCATTAAGTAACTTCCTACCTATCCACCTACTTTCCACATCAGGACACCTCAGGATGAGGATGGAGAGTTTCTTAAGATACAATTCTGATCCTGTTGAGGCAGGGCCAGTTAGGTACAACTCACTAGCATGCTAATTCTTGCACCAAGAGAGCTCAAAAAGGAAGGTGAACACAGTTTAGACAGGACAAGTGAGTTAATCTGAAAGCTCTCCCCTTAGATTCTGGATGTCCGCTAGCCCTTTCAAACCTTGCTAGCTTCCAGCCTGAGGAGAGAGGGCAGTGTGTGACTCCAGATTGTCATTCCACACCAATAACTCTGGAGACACTGAAGATGGCAGAGGCTTTTCTTGATAGCATGGATCACATGGGGCTACCATTGTGTCTGAACTTCTGCCACTAGATCGCTTGTCTCCTAATACTTGGGATGACTAAGATCTTTTGAATGGTAAGCACAGAAATTGTGTGTGAATGTTCCCTGTGATATCTTTTAAGATATTTTCTATTTTATAAGGTGATATGTTATAGGAAAGTGCTCAGCATAACTTTTTTGTGCCAAGTTAATCTGTGTCCAGCCTCTTGAAAGATACTTTTCATAGAAAATCATGCTATTTCAGGCAGGACGTAGGCACACAATCATTAACACTACACAACCACTTTCAAATTCCCTTGAAACTCCCTTCAGACTACTAAAAATCAGAAAGCCACTGTAAAATCCAGTGAAGTATTCATTTGATGCTCTAAAGTAGGGAAAGTTTACAGGGCAAGTTGTCATTTCACAGTTAGCATGTTCTTTAACAATTTTTCACAAGCTGACCCTGACTTTCAGGAAATGATAATGGCTGAATTATCAGTCTGAAGATCCATAATCTAGAAAAGGAAATCATTGCTCCTGTGGGACACCATCTCAACATTACTGGCAGGTCCAGATTTCCAGACACACTGGTAACATCAGTTTTGGGAATCAGGTTATAATAGGGTTTAGGCCCAAGGGAGTTAAGCCTATACTAATGGTAGAGGAAAAGAGGACATAAAATGAACTAGGAGTTGTCCCTTACCACAATGCATTTATGCCAAGGTGACCACATGTGTCAACATCAGGGAATCCCTCCTCCTGAGAGCCAAGAGGAAGTCTCTCAAAACTAGCAAGGAAAGGTGTCTTCTCCCCATCAATTCAACCAGTGACATAAGCTCCTTCCCCAAAAAACAACAATGAAGTGTTCTGTGTGTTAACAACATAGCTTTTTTAAAAACTAAAACAAAATTCTACATTTTATTAAAACTTGATGAGGGTCGCATTCCGGGAACCCCCAGACCCAATCCTAGCCCAGGCCCGGTGAGTGTGTGGAACAGCTTCTGCCTACCCTGCGCCGGCGGGCCCTACGGGTCCCAGCCCAGGCACGGCATGGGTGAGACCCTCTTTCACCCCCTTGGGATGCCCCCTACCACTCCGCAGCACCTCCTCCACTCCTCCCACTGAGTAGGAATTTCTGCCGCATTCCGGGAACCCCCAGACCCAGTCCTAGCCCAGGCCCAGTGAGTGTGTGGGAGAGCTTCCACCTACCCTGCACCGGCGGGACCTATTGGTCCCAGTCCAGGCACAGCATGGGTGAGACCATGTTCCACCCCCTGGGGACACCCCCCCCATGACTCCATAGTACCCCCTCCACCCCACCTGCTGAGTAGGAATTTCTGCTGTGTTCTGGGAACTCCCAGATCCAGTCCTAGCCCAGGCTCAGTGAGTGTGTGGGAGAGCTGCCTCACCACCCTACTCCACCTTGTCCCCTCCAGACTCAGCTCAGGCCTGGCATACAGGCCTGGGTGAAACCCTGCAGCTGCAAGCCCTGCAGAGAGTGTAGGGGACAGAACCACCCAGGTAGTCCAGGAGCAGAACATCTTGCCAGAGGGGCACAACAGGTTCACCCCCAAGGGCAGCAACAGGAAAGAGCTGAGCACAGCAGCCAGACCCAAGCCAGGCACAGCTGGATAAATCCAAACTTTGTAGATCTGCACCTGAACTTCAGTAGGTGCTAAGGTTATAACTGCAACAAAGATGTACAACAAAGGTCAGAAGACAGTGCTACAAAATGACGAGAAGGAACAAAATGCAATCTCAGAACCCAAGCCCACCCATAACAAGTGCAGAGGACACTAACACAGAACAAATTGGGTATCACACAGCTGAAAGCAAAGAATCAATGGCTTCTGAAATAAAGAAACAGCTGCAGAAAGATATAGATGACCTCAGATTGGAAATGAAAAAAGAAATCCCTGAATTAATAACATCTGCAGTAAAGAATCAAATGCAGAAACATATGGAGGAAGCCAAATGCCCACCCAGAACAAATGCAGAGGACATTAGCTCGGCTCAAGTATATGAATTAATAGCATTGATAGTAAATAAGCAACAGCAGAAAGTCATAGAGGATCTCAGAGTTGAATTCTTTTCTACTAGCTCAGCTTAAATGTACAAATTAATAGCGTCGATAGTAAAACTTGATGAGAAAGAGTATTTCAAATGGTACTGTCACTGGAAGTACACAGTAATCAGAAATTCACACATTGCACTTGGCATCTCCAGTAACTTTGGCTTTTTGTGCCTGATCTGTTTTGGCATCTCTGTTTTCTGCAGGGTTATTTCCATCCTTGCTAGCATCAGCTTTCCCTTTTTCCCTTTGAATAGCTTCTCATCCTTTCTTGCAGGGACCTTTTTAGGCTTGGGCTCTGGCTGTGGAGAAGGTCGTTTAGCAGACCACCTTGCAGATCTTCTCTGTGGTTCATCCTTCATCTTGGCTTTATCAATTTTAACAACCCCTCCAGCCTTTCTGTTGGACATGGTGGTGATGGTGATAGGACCCATGGGCTGGACATGAGATGCAGTGGCACACAACTTGGGGCAGTCCAGGAATTGTTTTCACCTCTTGTTCTTCACACTGCTCCTCAGTGTATGTTTTATTCCACATATTTGTACAGATTGTAGGTCAGAGCAGTCCTGGTGGAATGACTGGAGGAATGAATAGCCGGAAGAGGAGCTTTTCTCTACCAGGGCATGCAGTGCGTGATGTGTGGGAGGAGATGCCTAAGGGGCATTGAAAAACGTGGGATTTTCTCTGCTCTGCTTTCCTTTCTCTGGCTGAAAGCTAATTCACCTTGACCTGCACACTGACAGGTGGTGGGACTGAAACCTGAGGATTGAAGTTTTTAAAAGTTATTTATTTACTTGTTTATTTATTTGGTACAGGGTCTCTCTATGTTGCTCAGACTTGCAGTGATCCTCCTGTCTCAGCCTCCCTAGCACTGAGATTGCAGGCATACATCACCATCCCCTGCTCTGGCTTTGGCACGTTATAATACCAGGGATTGAACTTGGGTGCTTGTGCTTATCAGGCAGGTGCTTAGACAGCTGAGCTATCTCCCCAGCACAGGACTGCATCTTTTGATCCAAAGGTGACAGAGGCAAGACTAGGAAAATATTGGAAGTTTACACACTCCTGTAAAAACAAAGTTTAATAGGACAAGAACATGCATCAAACCTAGATCTCTACTGAAGGGAGTGAAAAATTTGTTGAATAACCAAGGCAGCCCTCTGAGAAACGATGACAGAAAGATCGAAAGTAGTATTCTATCTTGGAAGTTAGTGACATAGCCAAGCACTTATCAAACCTAAAATATAAAAACTACTGGAGATTTATCCTAGTGTGAAGATTGATGATCAATGCCCAGTACTGAAATGATTCTTCTTGTTAGACATTTTGACCTCTGGGTGGTCAGCATCAACTTGTTGAGTTTCTTTGTGCAGGCATCATTCTCAAGTACAAACAGCCTGCCTTTGTACTTGATGGGTGAAGAGGGGGTCAATTTTGCTGTGGAATTTCTGAGCTTTACCATCATCCTGCACACACATCCAGGACTTCTAATAGGGATAAAGGCCTTTCAGTGCTTGACTGCTGAAAAAGCACAAGGAGGGGGTGGGAAAGACAACATACCAGCTCCAACAGACAGTAGGCAAGCTAATGTTGTGCCATAATTTTCATGAAAAAGTTCTTATATGATCAATAGGTCTGTGTGGAGAATCTGTCTCAAGAATAGGTGAATGCAGCAATGGAGATACAAAGTGAAGACAGAGATTCTATGCCTTTTATCTTAGTTTAGTCTCTCATAAGAAGTCTGTTGGCTGAAGGAAAGAGTCAGTCTTCTCAGTAAAAGAGAACACTTCAAGTCCTCGGATGTAACATGGGCAGATGTTGCCATAATCCAGACAGCAGAGGTGTTGCCTACAGCAAAACTAATGAGAAACTAATACTATGTTCTCCAGACGTGCGAACTCCAAAATTAGTTATTTCAAATTGACTCAGGACAAGGGAAGATAGTTTATTTAGAATTTTTTTCTAGGTGAGAATTTCTCAATTTTTGACAAGTTATGCCTCTGTGACTTTATCAGGGTCTCAGAATGGGTCTGTTAGAGTGGGCCATGCTACAAAGTGTATTTGTTTACTGCAGCAGTTGTGTTCTCATTCCAGCCTTACGTTTTAACACTGTTCCACCATGTTGGGCCCTAATAGTGTGAGGACCAACAATAGGTTCATGTACCATGTTTTTCATTACATCTTGTTCCTATTCTGAAGCTAATAGTTTTCAACTTGTATTGGATTGTGCACGCATGTGAAGCATATAAAGTGGAGCTATTTAGAATGTAGACACACCTACAGTATTTAAATGGAAATGGAATATCCATCTCTGACAAAACTAAACAAAAAAATGGATATAAATGGAGGACCATTTTGTAGTGATATATATATATATACATATATATATATATAATAATTAGGATAGATATACAGCTACTTTCTCTTAATTCAATGAGAAGAAATATTTGTACTAATAGTGTTTGGACAGAATATCATATTTCCATCTTGTACTATGAATAACTACTACAAAGACAACAATATGCAATGTATTAATTATTGTGACTGCCTTACTAACCTGTTTTGAAACTGTCTCATTGCTATTTGTTTCTCAATAAAATCAATAAAAAAATGTAGAATCCTGCACAGCCAGCTACTGGGCAGGCATTTCATATTAATATAGGAAAGCAATGGAGATACCCACAGTTAATTTTTAGGGTCATTCTGAAGAAAAAAATGGGGAAAATCTCCTAAGGGTGGAAGAAGACTGTGTTCATATGGCTTTTAGTGACACTATGCACATTGTTCTTCATTTCTTTATTTCTCCATAGGTACCGGAAGCTTCCCGACCACCATTACCCTGCCATTGCCAATGACTGCCTGAATGCCACCATCCACTTCTTGAGGAGACTGAAAACCTATGATGTGGACCCTTCCCGGGTTGTGCTCTGTGGAGAAAGTGCTGGAGGAGCAGCCGTAGCCCAGATCACCCAGGCCTTGGTGGGCCAAAAAGATCTTCCTCAGATCCGGGCTCAAGTCCTGATTTATCCAATCATCCAGATGGTAAATTTCCAGTTACCATCCACTCAGCAGCACAAAAATGTGCCATTCCTCCCCCTGGACTTCATGATGATGTGCATTTGTAAATATATGGCCATTGACCCTTCCTGGAAAGATGCCTTGATAACGGGTGCTTGTATACCTCAAGAGACCTGGAAAAAGTACGAGAAATGGCTCAGCTCTGATAACATCCCCAAGAAATTCAAGAATAAATACAAGGAACCCCAGTTTCCTGGGCCTTTTAATGAGGCTGCCTATCTGGAAACCAAACATCTGTTAGATGCAGAAAATTCCCCCCTCTTTGCTGAGGATGAGATCATTGCTCAACTCCCTGAGGCCTTCTTGGTGAGCTGTGAGTATGATATCCTCCGTGATCACAGCTTGCTCTACAAGAAGCGCTTAGAAGATCAAGGGGTCTCTGTGAGCTGGTACAATGTGGAAGATGGTTTTCATGGATGCATACTTTTATTTGATAGGAAGCATCTCTTATTCTCATGTTCCTATAAAGTTGTAAATGCTATAGCCAATTACATAAAGGGCTTATGACCATAACACTGTGGCCATGAATAATGTAATAATGTGAGGCCATGATACCTCTGCCACAGCTGGGGACTCTGCTGAATTCTATTTCAAGGAGGAGATGCTAATCCACTATGACCCAAGCAGGGAGGCTAAGATGGAGGGAAGAGCTGTTGAGCTTTCACTTCAAGAAAATACAAACTGTTTGCTTTTAATATTTTCAGAATCCTGTTTTGCATCTAGCTACATTCTCTAACATGTACAAATAAAAATAAGTGGAGAAGAAAACACTTTTAAATTTTTTTTGAAGCCTTAAACCCTGAGGTCTCACCATATGGTCTCCGCAGATTAAGTGCCAATAACTGAACATCCCATCCAAAGTGGACCGATATCTATGATGACTATGTATTGCCTGCTCCATCTCTCTACTGCAAGGAGGTGATAACCTGGGGTTGAAGTCACTGGTCACATCCCAGTTCAAAGTGGATTCAGTTGACCTGAGAAATGTTTATGAAACTAATAATGCCTTGGCACAAGCCAGCCTGAAGAAAGTTACCAGAAGTCTTGCCAAAGATATACACAGGGCAGAGGTGGGGGGGGGTGTTAGGTACTGAACTCTAGGGATTCAGGGGCTTTATGTGGACCTAAGTGTTGAAAAGAAATCCCTAAAGCAAATCTCTGGTTGCCACAAGGAGTGTCTCCAAGCCAAGGCTGTATTGGAAAGTTCTGGATGTTATGTGACACATGAAAGTAGATTTTATTATGGAGGAAGTGTTGCCTCTTTTCTGTTAAACTTCTGTGTTCTTCTAACTTCTACAAATTACTCTCTCTTACTGGTCAAAGTCAGTGTCTCTGCTAACAGGGATAAGTATTCTCTGTTCATCATTCTGGTAAAGCTTGTAGTAGCTTCATAGGGCCATGTTTGCACAATGCATCTGGAGGAATCCTATACTCCTGACCACACCCACTCAAGGAATGAAGCTGGAACCTCTCCCATCCATGCAACCATAGCCTGTCTAGGTACCAACACTCACTTTCACCTGTGACTGACAAACAAATGTGCCCAACATTGGTTCTTGGTCTTTAGGATGAGCACCTATATTTCATAGGCAACTAGACTGGATTCTTGAAGCCTGAGCAGGCTTCATGATTATATATTATATTTTAGTATCTTTGATAGCAGAGTTATCAATTTTCAGATTTCACTTAACAGTAGCACTGTATATGTTCCAGTGCATCAATACACGTTTAGTACCTCATCATGTGAAAAGGCTAGGGGTCTGAATACAACTTAGGTGGGGTCTTATGGATCCATGGGACATTATATTATGGTGTTGCATGCAGTTGAACTTAAGGATTGAATGAAAAGTTACTGAAACAAAGGTCATTAGGTAGGTAGGCAGAAAATGCCCTTTTCTTATTGGAGGCTGAAGTCATCAGTGTCCTATTAGATGTTAGCCATATGTCTCTACCCTGAGTTTTTGTGGACACTTACAGTATCTTGTCACATAACCTTAAATGGTACCTAATTTATTCAAGCAACAACAGAGACAAATGAAGCCCAGAGGCCAACAGATCTAAATGATGACTATAATATAATCAGGAACAAAAGTCTCATCTGAAGGGTCAGAGGTTCAATCCCCAGCCTGCCGTGCTGGTCCCACCCCTGGGGTATGCTTAGAAGGCAATTGAGACTGGGCATGGTGGCGCAGGCCTATAATCCCAGTTCTTGTGAGGCTGAACACAAGCAGATCACTATAAGTCCGATCTGTGTGGTGAGACCCAGTAGACTCACCCTACATTAAAGAATACAAAAAGTCTCATCTAATATATTACCTTTGACAGATCTCATCAGAAGGAACTCATGAGTCTTACACATGGGAATCACACAAGGTGCAACAGCCCAAGTGAGACAGGGAGTCATTGCAAAATCTGCCCTATGCAGAAAGCTACAGCAGAAGGGGACAGAAAGACCAGTGCAACTGACTAGCCAGCCTAGGATACAGAAGCTGTTCTGTACACATGAGCTCTACCTTCTGGGGTTGGTGGCAGCTTATTGCCCTAGGAGAGGTCCTCTCTCCTTCTTCAGCTCTACGTCATTTCTCCAAGAAAATCGCTCCACTCTTTTTTCCAGGGGTCCTCTGGGTCTTCCTTCAGCCTCTTCCCAGATTTTTCATGACAGCTACTCTGCTGTCAAGCAACTCAGAGTGCCATCAGAACAGAGAGGACACACAAGCAGACTGTTTTCTTCTTAATACCCTGTCAGAGTATTCTGTCAAACTCAAAGGACAAGAGTGTTCTTGAAACATCTTAACTCCATGGATCTGGTTGAATATCAATCCACAACCTGTAAGAAATTTTGGCCACAAATCAGTGATCCAAACGTGATAATGGAGAATTTAATTAGCAAAAATGTCAATATTATGAGAATTTTTTGAAGACTGAACCAAAAGGGAGGCCTGTTCTGGCCTAATTCCATAACTTTACTGTGGGTAAATTGGTTTTTTTAGGAAAGCAGATAATATCCCCAAGCTTGTAAAAGTTTGAGAGTGTAGGAAGTTACAGATATTCATGAAGTAGTGCAAGAAAGTCAGAGGTAACAATTTTAGACAGAAGACTAATATCTAAAGTATGTTAAGAACTCAGAAAATATTATACCACCTAGAATTCAAGACTCAGTCAAGAAATAGGCAAGGGAAATGAACAAACAGTACACAGAAGAGCTACTAATGGTCAACTAATATATGAAAAAGTGTGCAACAGCTCTGGCCCTTGAAAAAATGAAAATTAAAACAGAGCTAAGACTTTATCTTACTTCAAAAAGAGTGGCAATCATCAAGAAATCAAAGAAGAACAAATGCTGGCATGGTTGTTGTGGAAATGGGCCCTCTTACATGCTTGGTGGGAATGCAAACTAGATCAACTATTATAGAAATCAGTATGAAGATTTCTCCCAAAACTAAAATTAGAAATTCGAATGATCAGCTATCGTCCTTGTAGGTATCTTCCTCCAAAGAGCTTAAAACAGTGATACAATCATAAAAATGTTTATACAAGTACAGTTTGTAGTAGCTAAGTATTCAGCTTTTACACCCAGCCAGAAGCACCATTTATGCCAGATGATTGGATAAAGAAGTTGTATCCTTGTCTAATGGAATGCTACTTCATATTTCATTCATTTTTTATTTTTATTTCTTAAAGAATACAAAATGGTCCAAGATGCCCATCACCTGAGAAATGGTTGAAAAAGATGTGGTATTTTTACACAATGGAGTATTATTCAGCTATTAATAAAGATAAACTCAAAGCCTTTATATTGAAATGGATGCCACTTGAACATATACTCATAAGTGAAATAAACCAGACACACATGTGTAAATATCATATAGTTTCCCTAGTATAAGAACTCAAAGGAAGAAATACAAATAGAAATGTATAATACAAGTAAAAGGGAAGCAGAATCTCGAGGACTAACTAATCAAGAGAGGAAAAG